CGTTGTTGTGGATAATTTATGTAGATGGAGACAAGTGCAGAGTAATCTTGTGCTATAAAGCACCCAGCTGCTCCAATGATAACAGTGATATGATGATGGAGTGGTATAGATGACCTTTCTGCGGACGTACATCTATGCTTTCTAGCTAATGACTTCATCCTTGACATAGACAGGTCGAAAACAGAGCACGCTAGCCTGTGAGTCTCTGAAAAATCTGTGAGGAATAACAATCTCCATCAAATCGTTTGCGGTGGAACTAGGAGCACAATACTTTAAACCTGCTGTTTTGTAATTCTAAAATATTTGCTCCCGGGGTCAAGGGTGAAACCACCAGCTGGTTCTAGTGACCATGCTAACATTCAGTTCTGCGTTAGGCTGCCCAGCGTGTTGAGGAAAAATGTCTCCAAGCTAGAATTCAATGAGGCCGATTACGTTTTGTGGTGTTTTAATCCGTGCTAATTTGGTCTCTGTTGACTGGCATGGTTCCTTCAATGGCTTAAATGTGAATGACATCTATGAGGTGCTGCAGTTTGTTTTGAAACAAACATGATGAATATTCTTGTGCGCAGGGTTAGGGAAAGTCAAGCGAATACTCCCATATTTTTGAATGCACTTTTCGTTAAAAAGTTGCGGCATATGAAAAGTCCATGTTACCTAAAACTTCCACATTGGGAAGAAATTAATTGAAAATGGTAGTATTATTGCCTTTTACGAATATATCGATTCTAAAGTCAAGACAAAGGGAAGAGTACCTGCTTCATTGGAACATGACGGGCTTATTGCAGTGTCGGGTGCTGATAAAGCAGAGCCTTTTGCAGATGTATCTGAAAAATCTTTGTAAAGGATAGTGACCACGTACAGTGTTGTGGTGAGTGGACTGACTCTTTCACCCAAATGCAAGACTCCATGTGGTTCAGTGTACAAGAAATCTCTGAACTTCTTTCAAAGGTGGAAGTGTAGTTTCTCGCTCACTCCGGATGGTATTCCTCTTTGTTTCTTTGAAAAATCCTTCCGTCAATCGTGGACTTCACTTACTTCAATTCATCTACAATCATGTATCTTCCGAGAAGGAGTTCCTGACAGATGGAAGCATACTCTCATAACTCCTATTAAAAAGAAACCTCCTCTTCTTCCTCTTCTTTCTTCTTCAGCGTTTGTCCCGCTCGATGGCGGGGTCCGCTCTTTTGATATAACTACGCCACTTTTCCCGATTGAATGCCTGATCGGGGTGAATGCCGGCTATTTTCAAGTCGGTATGCAGCGTGTCGAGCCAGCGCTGTTTGGGACGCCCCTTTGGCCGCTTTCCTGGTACCTCGAGTTCGAGAGCAGTTTTACGGACGGTGTCAGCCTTCGCGCGAAGTACGTGGTACCATCGAAGGCGCGTTTCACGCAATTTCTCTGCTATGGGGGCTACACCATACTTCTTGCGCACGACATCGTTACAAATGCGGTCCGATCGCGTGACGCCCGCCGTCCAGCGCAACATCTTCATCTCCATCACACCAAGGCGAGCCTCAACTTCTTTGGTCGCGGGCCAGCACTCGGCACCATATAACGCGACAGGTCGGACGACAGTATGACAGATCGCTCTGGCATTTTCTTGTCGCAAAGGATCCCAGACATGGATCGCCATTAGACCACGCCGCACTCACTCGTGCGCTCACTTCCGAGTTCAGACTGCCATCGGACGCAAGTGCTGATCCGAGATACTTGAATGTTTCCGTGCGCTTGAGCACCGTGTCATCGATCTTAATGGAGCCCGGCTCATTTGGGTCGGTTGTCAGGTACTCGGTCTTGTTGACGTTCAACCTGAGTCCAAACTTCGCCAGACGCTCGGCCCAAGCTTGCACCTGCTGTTCCAGTGCGCTCTTATCTTCACAAGCAAGCATCACATCATCAGCGTAAAGCAGGGTCCAAGGCACTTCCTTCTGAAGATCTCGTGAGATGGCATCCATGACGGCAACGAAAAGAAGTGGGGAGAGCGCAGAGCCTTGATGTACCCCGACGGTGATGGGGAACTCCATTGAGACACCCGCTGGTGAGCGAACTTGGCTCCCTGGGCATGAGTAAAGGATGCGCACCCACTCAATTAGCTCTTCGGGCACGCCGTGCCGCCTCAAAGCGTACCATATAACATCACGCGGCACACGATCGAATGCCTTCTCCAGGTCTAAGAAAGCTACATGCACGGGCTTTCGCTTCTCACGGTGTTTCTCCAGCAATAGGCGAGCGGCATGTATGGCGTCGACGGTGCTACAACCCGCCACGAAGCCACACTGATTGGTGGAAAGCTGGACGATATCACGAACGGGCGTCAACAATTCGCTCAAAGATTTTCATAGTGTGCGAGAGAAGGCGAATTGGACGGTAGTTCGAGCAATCTGCCGGGCTGCCCTTCTTCTTCCAAATCGGGATCGTCACGCTCGCTTCGGGATCGTCGCGCTCTGCTGCCCGCGAGTCCTTGGGCACCTTCTTCTCTTCGACGATCTGGTTGAAGAGTTTCGTCAACCAACCCGCAGAAAACCAGCGTTGTGACTTCCACAAATCAGCTGCTATGTCGTCGGGGCCTGTTGCTTTGCCTTCATCTTCCTCAGAGCAGCTTCTGTTTCCTGTACGGTGATCTTCTGAACGGGACCATATGTTGGTGCGGTACAGGGTATAGCGGGATGGGCGATTGAGATGCCCTCGAAGTATTCACGCCATCGTTGCAATACCCTTTTTCGGTCCATCAGAAGGTGGCCATTCTCATCACTTATGCCAAAAAACTTCTCAATGTCTTCGGTTTGGCGATGACGAGATTTGGCAAGTCCGTACAGGTACCGCTCACCGTCGCGCGTCTCCAGCTTCTTGCTGATATCATCGAAGTGAGCGGCCTTCACAGCAGCCACGGCCGTCTTTGCCGCATTCCTCGCTTCCCGATACTGCCGCCAGTTGTCAGCCGACTTGTGCTCGAGAAACGCGTGATAGAGCCTCTTCTTTTCTCGAACCTTCGCTTTGACGTCGTCCGTCCAGAGCCATGCCTCTTTGTCAATCCTCCGCCGTCCAGGCTTCGTTGTGCCGAGTTCGGAGCGGGCGGCCTGGATTATAGAATCAACGGCTTCGTTCCAGGTCTCCTGAACAGTTGTGACTTCAGGTAGTCGGTGCTGCGTGGCAACCGTTTCATACGGTACTACCTTAGCGTCTGTCACGAGTCCTTGGTCGCCATGCCTGATGAGTACAAAGTCTATTTGTGTCTTGGTACTCCCGCTGTAGAACGTGATGAGATGGGAGTCACGTTTACGAAACTTGTGTTCAGAATGACGAGGTTATGCGACTCTGCATACTCAAGGACTCGCTCACCATCGGCGTTCCGTGAACCGTAGCCGAATCCGCCATGACAAGCATAGCCGTCTTTTGCAGCGCCCACGTGTCCCTTTAAATCGCCGGTTACAATGATACTTCAGCCATCTTCTCGCCCAGAAGGGCCCAGAACTCGTCCTTGGACTGCTCAGAGCATCCAGTTCATGGGACATATGCAGAGAAGAAGTAGTACATGTAAGGGAAATCCCCTTGAACATTGCTACTATGTATTCCCTATATTCTATGCTACCTCTATCCTAGCCTATGAAGCTTTTGTAATTAGATCCTTAAAATATTGTAACCAAACTTACCTTGTAACTTTGTACGCTCTTTTCGCCGTTGTTTATCATGAAGGCAGTTGTTATCGGGCCTTATTGATTGCAAGCCAGGGATGTGAATCCCGCGCGATTTGATTCCGTCACTTCGTCTACTATGTACTATTTCGTCATACTCTAGTTGTCTAGACTCACCCTATATAAGGCCGGTTCTTATGTTGAAATAGTATTCTTGTGGATTTCGACTGGGCACTGCCCCACTTACTGCTAACGAGCCGAATAAACGGGTGAGTATCGGCTGTACTCGCACCGGGAAAAGGAAGGAGCTGCGAAAGCTCCATTACATGGGGGCCGAACCACTTCGGCTAATTCAGGTAAGTTGAGTGCAGTAGGAACCAGGGGATCCCTGAGTTCCTTAGAAGCACAGTCGAGCCACAGGGCCGTGAAGAGCGGCGGGCTCGAATAAGCTGCTTGACTGGCAGCCCCCGACGGTACTTGGCGCACAGGAATTGCGTAGCCAGAGTACCCGACAGGACAGAGAGAAAGCAGTTTCCTAAGGGGAAACTCTGCGCAAATTTTTTTTGCGTCAATTTTTTTGCTCTGACTGAAACAGACCCGTTTCAGGAAGCAACCATGGCAGACGAAATGGAAAGAGAGCTTGACCGTATCCTCGAAGAGGATGACGCACGAGACAGTAAGCTGAATGAGGTCCAGCAACAGCTGGCACAGCTGCAAGCTCAGGTCGTACTGCTAACCCAACAGCAAAATCGCGACGAGGTTAGAGATGCGGTGTCAGACACTGGCAGAAGGGTACTGCCACTTAGAAAACCGTTAGGTTTTGAAGCCCAGGCAAGTGGACAAAGACATGCTTTGCAGGTTCCATCGACTCATGCTGACACGGAACATGCGATGGAGTGCGGCGAGACCCAGCAAGCCGACTTCCGCAGAACTTTTACGCTGCTAAACGCCAACGATGTGCAGCCAGCAGCAAGCCTGCCGCCGATCGAGTTCGACGCGGTAAGCGCGGCGGAAGGTAGGCGCTTGTCTATGCAATGTGACTTGTCGAAAGCTAGACAATACAGTCACCAGAACGTATTTCAGAGCAACGCTGTCGGGAACGAGCCACAGCAAGCCACGGTTCACCTCACGCCAGCCAAGGACAACTCCCTAAGAGGTTTGTCTCCAACCTTTGAACGATGCGAGTTCGCACATTGATACCGGGGTTGGGACAATCTTAGCGGCGATGGCACTTCCGGAGGTTAAGATCTTTGATAACCCAGACGGTAAAGGATTTACGGAATTTGTTAAGTCCTTTTCGATGAAATATGGTAGGATCGGCCTCCCGGATGACTTATTGATTCATCTGATGAGCGAAAAGCTGGAAGGGCATCCAAAAGCGGTCATGAAAACGCTCCCAGAAGAGGTCAGACAAGGGCGATTTGCTGATGTTGTGGCTGCGCTCACTGCAAAGTTTGCTGAGAACACTTCTGCTAAACGTATGGAATCGCACGTTAAGCTGAAACAGCTCAGGATGACGAAGTCGGT